GTTGGTTTTGTTGCTTCGACATTTAGTGGCCATCAGAGCCATGAGCTGATTAACAGTTTCCTACAGTTTATTCCTACTGAGTAGAATGGAGAACATCTCAATAAGGGAACGCAGACTGACAGCATCATTGGGTTATTCGTATCCGTGAAGCTGACATTTAAACAAGTAACATTACTTTTTGTGGTCTGGGAGGTTTACTGTTGCAGATTACATCCATTTTGATGACCTTTTAAAGTTGCCTTAAAGTGTTATACCTTTATGACACTTTAAAGTCAAAAAGGTATACTTTATGGTATAAAGTGTCATACTTTAAGTGTTGCTTAAACAGTAACTAAACCCTAATCAACTTTTATGTAGATAAATTGAACGGGACATTTTTGTGTTAATACGATATGTAATTCTACAATATTTAGTCTGTCTTAGTGCTTCTCTCATACAGTGCATACAGCTTGGCTGATGCCTATGTTTGGGTAAAAAACAATCTCGGACACACACTTAGTATCTAATATATTTAAAATTTATTGCTTTGATAACTTTAGTTAGTGCGATGCTTTGTATTTCCAATAGACTTACTAAAAAGGATAAATGGCAAAAACAGAAAATAGTGTCCCCAAATATGAGTTTAGCATATAAAGGCTAGGAGCAGAAATAAAGGCAGAAAATGGACTCATTGAAAAAATAGTGCTAGAGGTAATTTTTAGAGAAAGCTAATTTCTAAATTTTTCTGGAGGTATTTAGAAATTAACTTTAGAAAATAGATCTAAGTGTAATGTAGATCTATTTTTTTCTGCTGTGTCAGAGCAATTACTTAATTTTTTTTCCAAGATTGAAAATAAAAGCTGGAGAAAGATAAATCTGAAGAGCGGTCAGGGCGATGGGGAGAAAATGCATCATCCAACATGTTCTTTTCAATACCTGTACATGTCTGAGTAGGCAGCAAAGCTGTGAAATTACGTTTGACCCATTCTTATTCTGACTTTATTCCATCTCCATGGGAATAATAAGAGGCAGAAAGCAAGCAGTTTGGGTGACCAGTTGTGTCAGGGGAGACACAACTGGTCTGAAACACAAAGACTTCACAGGGAAATGATAACCACCTCCCCTTGAATTTATTTTTTTTTCTGCAGTAGCATTATCTCACATTGAACATTTTGGGGAAAAAAACTGTAATGCTGAATGAGTACACTTATTCAGCAGAGCAAAATGTATTTCTCAAATACAGAATTGAGGCCTCTAAAAGAAAACATTTTCCCATTAAATAGAGAAAATGTCTCTATTTAGTGGGATAACAATCCAAAATACAGGAATGGCTCACCAGACACATGACCAACCTTCTTCAGCGTCATCCACTCCAGAAGCATTTTTTCAAACCGATTCTAGAATGAAAATTCTTTTTTCTTTTTTTCTGTTGAGAAATGCTGACCTAAAATTAAAATTAATCATGCAAAGTAACATCTGGACCCAACGGTAGACTCAGACTTCAATAAAACCTATCAGGTGATGTTTGTTGTGTTTTGTCTCATGCAAACTTTGTTTTAATTCTATTTCTTTTTGTATTTAATCACAAGATTAAATACAAATTTTCTCAACTTCATGAATAAGTAAACCAGAGTGGAATCTAGGTTTGGTGGATTGCTCCCATCTCTCTCTCTGTTCATTCTTTAGTTTTTTCCTAATCTTCCGTCCTGCATCCTTCTCTCTCTCTCTTTTTCTCTCTCTCTCTCTTTCTTTTGGTTTCATGAATTAATCAATAACCTCTCAGGCAGAGAGAGTTACCAAGCCAGGAAACAGGAACACCAGGCTTCCTGAAAAAAAGAGGAATAAGTTTCAAGCCTTTATAAAATAGTTCAGACTATTCCTTATTTCAATGCATGGAAATTTTAAAGAATGAAGTCTCAACAAATAGAGTAATTGAATAAAACATAAAGCAAAATACTTAATATTGTTTTACATGAAAGAATGAAGAACTGTAACTTTGGTTTCAAATAATTAGAATAATGGATGATTAATGTATTTTTTTCTCAGAACACTAATAATAACTCAAATTATGATTATTATAAGAGTAACTAATAAGTTATGGTTATCATAATATTATAGATGAGTGCTAAATCAGAGAAGCTAAAGAGGTTATGGATGTGATTTTAATTATAAATTTGAAATTATATAAAATGTGTAACTCTAATTTAAGATCACTGTTGTATTGGAAGTAAATTGGTGAAAGGTTAGGGAAAAACTAAAAAGAGAGAAGAGTTGACCAATGCTTCAGGGTTTGCTGATTTGGAGACAGATTGTTACAAATCAACTGCTGAAAGAAGAAGCTTGTGCAGGTAAAGGGGCTAGGGTGACCCCCTTTTGAACATAAACCAAGGACATCATGTCATAATATTTCTAAGCCCAAAGACTCAAATCTATAAACACAAATTATGAAAAGCTTCTTTTTTGAACGAGCTGTCAGAAAACATAATTAAGCAGCATCTGTTATCCCCAGAAGAAAAATAGTAAACACCTGAACGTCAAACTTTAGTGTATCAATAACAGGAGGAAAGAATAATTGGACACAGATTTAGCTAGCATTACAGAAAAAATGTGACAATAGCCACACACTTGTCCACTGGCATCTTGCTGATAAAAAAGCACCGTCTGCACATTAGCTGCTTCTGTCGCGTTAAAACCGAAATCTGCTCTGACAACAACAACACCGGAACAATTATTTCCTTCACACTGTGCTTTTTATAACCGGGAATAAATCGGACACCAATAATAAGCTCTTTCATATGCACAATTTAGCCACAGCTAAATATTCATATAAATGGTTTTTAGATGTCAGACTTTCAATTGCCACACACAATTTACAGCAAGTCCCCCAAACAGACAACTGACAGCTGCTGAATGAAATTGGTATTAGTCATGCAAGTGCCATGTATAAAACAGTTTTTAAAATCTAGTGCTAATGAATCAAACACTTGACAGCTTGCTTCTGTCAATAAAACTGCAAAATACAATCTACTCTGCACTCATCAGCCCAAGTCAAATGCAACAAAGACAGCAGAAGCACTTTTCTGTGATGCATTTGATTAACTCTTGAAGTTTGAAGATTTACGGTTGAGGATTTACGGTAATTCAATGATTTAGTCTGAAGTGCCATCATTGTTGAACATGACCTGAAATGTTCAAGAAAATTTGGTAATAGATCCAGGATCACAAAGATTTAAGTCTTGAATTGAAAATTGTTGAAGTCCAGAGTTGCTACCAGGAATGGAGTGCAGAACGGTCTTCCAAGACTAAGACCAAGACTGAATGTTTGGAATTTCGGCAAATATTTCAGGACATTGCTTTTTGTACACTACAAAATGCAAAAATGAACAAAAAAAATACCTAATTACTCAACCATATAGGTTTTTTTTTATATATATCAGTGACGGTGACATTTAAAGCGAAATAAGCTGGGTTTATAGTTGATACACTGAACTGGACACCGTCCTTTTGAAACTTTTTAATACAAAAACACTGAGGGCTGCCACATAACCCCTGCCACCAGGCTTAGCAGGTGTTCTGGGGGAAACCATGTTACTATTCCTAAAAAAATATGGACATATCAGTCAATTAGTAGATGTTTTATTTTTATTAGTCCATTCAGGCAAGCAAATGGCCTCACAAATGAAATTCCCAAAGCCTTTAATAATGATAGAATCTGTAGTCTACAAATATAAAGCAAACAAGGACTACACAAGAACAACAGACAACAGAAGACAAGTGTAAATATTTTTTCTTACATGGATTATGACCATAAAGACATAAAATATACTGAGGTTAACATTTAAAATAGATAATTTCAAGCCTAAACCAAATATAGCCTTCATCTATATGCTGAGTGTATGTAAACTTCCGACCTGAGCAACATTTGTGTGAACCACCAGAAAATCCCCCTCTGCCGCCACAAAATGTCACCACTCTTCTCCAAATACATTCAGGGAACTTGTAAACATTATAATCTGAAAATGTTTATCAGTTAGATGAATGACAACATTTTCTCAACTCCATGAATTCATGAATAAGTAAACCAGAGTGGAGTCTATGTTTGGTGGATTGCTCCCATCTCTCTCTCTGTTCATTCTTTAGTTTTTTCCTAATCTTCCATCCTTCATCCTTCTCTCTCTCTTTCTTTTGGTTTCATGAATTAATCAATAACCTCTGAATCTAAGAACTGTCTGTATCCATCTTGCTTTCACTTATTCTGCTTTTACTCATAAATTAGTCATTAGATAATATTGGGACAAAATCCCTGCTTGCATGAGGACCAGCATTTTCCCCCATTCATTCTTCACCACTGCCACACAGTACATTTGTCAAAGACTTTGGTCTTCTCTTCTAAGAAAATTCCATTTACTTGCATTTTGCGTCTGGGCATCCCCTTGCTCTCTTCCAACCTTCTTCTGATTGTCTCATGCCCTGCCCAGTTAATTGCTGCATCTTTTGTCTGCAGTTAATCAGCTCTAATGTTGACTGCAACTTCAGCAGTCACTTGAACTTGTCATGCCCACAAAAGCAACCTAGCACACAGTACACAAACAATAAAATGACTTGTAAATGGCAGACTTTTGTCTGAGTAAGTACGTGAAAGCGTGTGTCTGCAGTGTGGGCGATGATTCATGGAGGCACAGAAGCAGCCACTTATCAGCCTGAAGAATGACACCGGCTTCATGAGAGCTCATCACTCATATTTACTTTGCCACGCAAGCACACACACACACAAACATAAACACACTAAGTGAACATGTAAACACTGGAGTCATGGTAGCAGAGGACTTTTGTTTCTTCCACTTATTTTCTAATATTCCTGTGTAAAAATGGTGAACATAGAGAAAGCATTGATAATTTACCGTCTCTGTTTTTGTGATTGTTGTATTTTGTTTATTATGATGTGCGCACGCACACACACACCACAATACTAACGCTAACTCTCACAGGCTCATGCATGTTTGCTTGTTTATTTACTGCACCTGGTGGGACGCCGGTGGACACGGTGGAAGACGTGACCAGGCCCTGTCCTGCACCCGTCAGCGCTGCCACCTGAATGGTGTACGTAGTGGTGGAGGTGAGGCCTGACAGCTGGTACTCCAAAGTAGAGTTGGACAAGGAGCGCTCCACTCTGCTTGACCTTACACTAGGCACCTCCCACCACAGCATGTAACCTGTCAGGGGAGTTGGGAAGCAGGCTGGATAAACATGCATAAAAACATGTGGTATCATGTACAGACAAAAATATCAACATATGGAGTTCCCAGAAGTTTTTTTTATTGACAGATACAAAAGTCTGTGGCATAAATTTGTATTAAGCCAACAAGTCCCTGCAATTCCAGTTGGAAGCATTTTGGTCTATGTATCAGCTTTGCATATTCATATGCAAGACCCTGCCTTTGCCTCTTTATAAGGGCTATGTTGTCCTGAGGTGTCTCTCAATGCTGCTATGTTATTAGGTTGTTGGGAGTACAAATTGGCTACTTTTCCACATTTTCTTCTCTCCAATTTGCATTATTTGTTGATAATTCAGCTGTTATCTTTATGCTTAGGTGGAATGTTCATGTTGTTAGGATAAGGTTGTATAACCTAACCCTGCATTTATTCCTGTCTTATCTGCTTTGTTGCTTGGTCTCCATGATGCTGTTAGTTTACCAATGTTCTCTAAGAAACTATGGCCCACATAGAACAGTTGAATTTATACTGAGATTAAATTAAGCACAGGAGTTTACTTCAGTGTATTGTTGAGTGCACTGGATTTGATTTAGGCATTTCAGAGTGAAGGGGGCTGAATGTAGATTCACAGCTGGCATTTTAGTTTTCAAAAATCTGATAGTCCGATAGGCTTGGTTTAATTGGGACCAAAATTGGAAACATCTGATACATTTTCAGCTGCTGTGGTTCGCATTCACACTGCTCTGTGTCAAACGATCCAAATTCTTTGAAAAACCTGTCTACTCCCCTCACCATTCGTTACACTGAACCACTGAAGGAAATTAACTAAAGAAGACGACGAACACAACTCCTTTCAAAATGTAAGCACAAATGGAGTGGTGTCAGAGTTTAGTGGTTGTAAGGTTTATCTTTTGTCTTTGGTAAAATACCACATTCTGTAGTTTGTTTCCAGCTTTTGAAGCGTCTCTGGTCTGTTTGGCGTTCACATATGCACTGCACTAGAGTTCACTTCAAACAAATCAATACCTTGGTTTGTAAGTATTGATTTGGTGGACATCACAGGTGGACCAAAATCAGCTATTTTTGGTCTAGTTTATAGATTGAGTAGGCATTCACACCTCCCCAAACAAAGCAAACCTTCTAGTTAAACAAACTAGTTCAATTAAAGTGGACCGAACAGGGCTGGTGGGAATGCCACCATTATTTTTATTTGTAGAAAACATGCTGCTTTTTCTTTCCATTTTGTGATACTTTGATTTGTTGCAACATAAAATACAACAAATCCAATTTCAAGCCCAATGCACTGATATATACAGTTATAACATGATGAAACACGATAAAGTTGAAGCTTTATGAATGCTTTTGTGAGGCGCTGTGAGAGGATTACAGCCAAGCAGGAGAAGAGAGTGTGGGAGGAGGCAAAATCCTTGTCTGTCCCTTTGCATCTTCACATTCATGCATCGCACTCCACCACACTCAAATGTGTCTGATGAGGCCACTTGTGTGGAAAGCCCTAAGGAGGGAAACCGGTCCCTCATTTATCTGTGGGCTCACCAGGTTCTGGATGAAAAACAGGTTGTGGAGAAAAAAGTCTTCTCTTCTAAGAAAGGTGGTCTTGATTGAATGCACACTTTCCCATATGTATGAAGCACACTGTAAAACCTCTGCTGGGGTGAACGTTGGACACTACGCCAAAACCAGCACCTATATGCGCTCTTAACACACAATTAATTCCCAGCATCATGTTGTGCTTTTCAGCATCATCATCTGACAGATCCACGAAGAAGCAGAGGACAAATAAATGAGGGGGCTCTTCTGCTCAGTGATGTGCTGTACAAACAACACCCCGGGTGTTGAGACGTGTGAGATGATGGCATGTTTGTAATAATGTGGAAAGACAAACTAGAGGGAAGGGAGTTGCTGAAGATGAAACAGTTGTACACAAACATAATGTCAGTGATGAAGGGGGATCTTTGGATGTCAGAGAATATGGAGGAAACTCTTAACATTAGAGGGTTCTCTTGAAGAGGGGCCTTTACAATCCTGGTTCAGTTAGAAATTTTCAGGACCATACATTTCCACCTCAGAAAAATTCATTTTAATTGGAAAAATTGTCCATATTAATTTTCTGTGGAAACAGACAGTCACAACTTACTGAAATTTGTCTCATGATAGAGTGGTAAATGATATACTGTAATAAAAGTTCTCTGATCATGGACGGGAATGTGGAAGCAGATAGAAGATATGATTATACAATGCCAAGATGTAATGCTCTACCAGTGATGATGCCATTCTTGTCCTGTGGCTCAGCCCAGCTGACTCGAAGGGATGTGTCGAGGATTTCAGTGAAGCTCAGGTGGCAAACACGTCCAGGTGCTGAAAAAAAAAACAAAAACACATTTAATTTTTGCAAATCATTACGTCAACCTTGATATAGTTTGTAAGACATCTTACGATGTCTTTCAAACTTACGATGTCTTTCAAACTCACCATGTCTTTCAATCTTTATTTTTGGAGGATTTTCAAAAAAAGAACAAAACAAAGCAACACATTTTTGAGGGGTAACTCTGGAGGATCTTCAGAGATCTACAGTGCAGGTTGACAGGACATCTATTAGCTGTGCACTTCTCAACTCTGCTTTTTTGGAAAAGTGTCAAGAAGAAAACGTAAGACGCATTAAAAGCCATGTTTGCAGTTTGGCTCAAGACATACATTAAGCATGGGAAAGGTAAACTAAATGAAACTTACATTTAAAAAGTTAGATCTGGAAAAAGATTTACACCCTGAATCCACCATTCTCATGATGAAACATGACAATGACAGCATCATTCAGTGAAATGTATTATGCTTTTCTTCAGATGAACCATGAGGACTAGTGCAGAATATATACAAAGGATGTCCAAGGTAGGTTAAAAACAGACAAACAGCATTACCTTCAGTGAAAGAGTCTATCACCTTCAGTGGAACTTGTCAGGAGTCTAACCACAGACTGACTTCCTCACCACAGTCAGTCTGTGGTTAGATGTCACAATGACCAATGAAAATATTTTCACAGATATATGGACTTAATGAGAAGTATACTTAATATTTAAAGGTCATCAATTTCCAAAAGGCACTTTTAATGTGACCAAAGAGATTCATTGGAATTCATATAATAATGGATTGAATATGACTTATAGGAAGATGGACTGAGTGAAATAAGGAGCTACCTGTTTGAGGCTCAAAAAAATTTATACCAGTAACTGAGGTTGGGCTTCAACTGAAAAATGACGCTAAACAAATAGCGAGAACTGCATCACAAAGATCAAAGCATGTTGAATTCTGAAATGTTAGAATGGTCCATTCAGAATCTGTGGCAAAGCTTGGAAATTGATATTTATGAACACTATCCATCCAGTGTTTCTCATAATGAGATATTTTACAAATTTGAATAGGCAAAAAATAAAATAAAAATTTAAACCAGCTACTTATTTGTTCCCCCTCCTCTTTGTTAAATATTACTTAGTTTTGACCTATCACCTAAAATCAATCCCAAAATTAGGACTTATTATTGAGGTTTGTGGTTGTAATATCACAAAATACGACAATATCTAAGGGGTATAGAAACTGTTGTGAAATACCATAGGCTTCATTCACATTCCCATCACATCTGCATTGACCAGTAAACCCCTATGTATGCATGTTATCAAGTCATTTCTCATTTCATCCATAGCTCTCTAACCCCTCTCCCTGCAGAGCGATTAAGCTATTCATCTGAGACATTCAATAACACTCACACACAATCAAAATCACTTGCACGCACACATGCAAAAAGCTATCATCAAACAGAATTACACCCACCGTTAACCGCAACAGGCCTAGCAACCAATCAATACCAGTCAACCACTGTGTTTGCATGTGTGTGGAGATGAGTGTGTGCGTGTGTGTATATGTTTAGCCTCTAATATCCTTTTCCCAGTCAATAATCGCTGGTTGCTAATAATTGCTTGTCTGTCTGCCTAAAGGCTATTGTGTTTATTTGATGGTATGACTGAGAGTGTGCTCTTGGAATTGTACACAGCTATTATATTTATCCGTAGAACAGTGGCCTATAAATACCTGCACGCATGAAGACATGTGAATCAATTCCCCTTAAAAAGACATAGCGGATTGAACAGAAGTGGCAGGAAAATTAGGAACAAAAGAAATTTGACAAAAAAATACTGATGGGAGTGAAAGGAAAATAAGACCCCAAAAGATTAGAAAAAGTGTTGGTGAATGTGGTTTGTAATGTATTGTGGACACGGGTGGGTATTACACTTAACAGCTGGGTTCAGAAACAAGCAGGTACTTAGTTTGATTCTAATCGGTGGGTGAGACAGATATGTTTTATTTGTCTGCTTTATTCTCCAAAGCTTATCTGATCTTACTTAGGATTACTTTTTTTAAGATTTGCTAAATGTTGGAATAATTTTTTTTCCTCAAATTTTGAAATTTACATACATTTCTCTAGCATCTGAATTACCTTTGGACAAATATGTTTCCTGGAATTTTGGCCTATTCCTCCTGACAGAACGGGTGGAACTTTTCTGAGTCTGATTTGTAGGCCTTCACACTTTTTCCTCTCTGTTCACAATGTTCTGTAAAAGTCATGAAATAATTTTACTAATCTCAACTGACATGAAACAGGAAAGAATTAGCCACATTTAATATCAGACAGTAATAAAAAATATATATATATATCTGCAGTATCGCATGGACATCGGGGGCAGTTCCCCTGGATTGGCAGACTGGGTTGGTGGTCCCCCTGTTTAAAAAGGGGGATCGGAGGGTGTGCTCCAATTATAGAGGGATCACACTCTTAAGCCTCCCTGGCAAGGTCTATTCGGGGGTCCTGGAGAGGAGGGTCCGTCGGATAGTCGAACCTCGGATTTTGGAAGAGCAGTGTGATTTTCGTCCTGGTTGTGGAACACTGGACCAGATCTATACTCTCAGCAGGGTCCTGGAGGGTGCATGGGAGTTGGCCCAACCAGTCAACATGTGCTTTGTGGACTTGGAGAAGGCGTTTGACCGTGTCCATCGGGGTGCCCTGTGGGGGGTTCTCCGGGAGTATGGGGTACCGGGCCCTTTGATGAGGGCTGTCAGGTCCCTGTATGACCGGTGTCAGAGTCTGGTCCGCATTGCCGGCAATAAGTCGGGCTCGTTCCCGGTGAGGGTTGGACTCCGCCAGGGCTGCCCTTTGTCACCGATTCTGTTCATTACTTTGATGGACAGAATTTCTAGGCGCAGCCAGGGTGTTGAGGGGATCCGTTTTGGTGACCTTAGGATTGCATCTCTGCTTTTTGCGGATGATGCAGTCCAATCGGCTTCATCGGGACGTGATCTGCAGCTCGCGCTGGAGCGGTTCGCAGCCGGGATGAGTATCAACGCCTCCAAGTCCGAGACCATGGTCTTGAGTCAGAAAAGGGTAGAGTGCCTTCTCCGGGTCGAGGAAGATGTCCTTCCCCAAGTGGAGGAGTTCAAGTATCTCGGGATCTTGTTCACGAATGAGGGAAGAAGGCAGCGGGAGATCGACAGGCAGATTGGAGCAGCGTCTGCCGTGAAGCGGGCGCTGTACTGGTCCTTCGTGGTGAAGAGAGAGCTGAGTCAAAAAGCGAAGCTCTCGATTTACCGGTCGATCTACGTTCCTACCCTCATCTATGGTCATGAGCTGTGGGTAATGACCAAAAGAACGAGATCGCGGATACAAGTGGCCGAAATGGGTTTTCTCCGTAGGGTGGCTGGGCTCTCCCTTAGAGATAGGGTGAGAAGCTCGGTCATCCGGGAGGAACTCAGAGTAGAGCCGCTGCTCCTGCACATCGAGAGGAGCCAGTTGAGGTGGCTCGGGCATCTGGTTAGGATGCCTCCTGGACGCCTCCCTGGGGAGGTGTTTCGGGCACGTCCCACCGGGAGGAGGCCCTGGGGAAGACCCAGGACACGCTGGAGGGACTACGTCTCTCGGCTGGCTTGGGAATGCCTCGGGATTCCCCTGGAGGAGCTGGAGGATGTGGCTGGGGAGAGGGAAGTCTGGGCCTCCCTTCTTAGGGCTGAGGGCTAAGAAGGGAGGCCATCCATCCATCAATCCATCTTCTGCCGCTTATCCGGGGTCCGGTCGTGGGGGTAGCCCCACGACCGGACCCCGGATAAGCGGCAGAAGATGGATTGATGGATGGATGGATATCTTTTCATAGTATGTGTATATTTTATTAGGATATTGAAATGTACAGTTTTCAGCTATACACTGAATGTGCGAATGACACTTACTGTCCTCGTGTGTCTGAAGAAGGGTGGGTGCACTGCAGGGGCCATCTCCAGGTGTGGTGAAGCAGAGAGTTGAACCGTAGTACCAGGTGAACTTCCTGAGACCGCTGACTAATCCTGTGTGCCGGGAGCTCGGGTAGTCAGGAGTGATGATTACCACTCTAACCTCCTCAGGAGATTGTTCCGGCCAGACAAGGAGCTGTGGTAATTTAGAAAAATAACTGCAGGTGACATAAACAATAACTAATACTTCTTATCAGAATCCTGCACCAGTAATTTATTCTCAATCTACATTTTTTTATTTGTCACGGGGGGTTCAGGTCAGAGAATCAGTTCTAGAATAACTCAAATTGCATTTTGTAAGCACACACACATAATTGCGTCTCCACACAAGCTCTGGTGAATCTTTTTGTATTATTTTAAAAATAACAAACAGCAAAAAAAATTCAGGTTCCCCTTCCAAGAAAAGTTATTCGAATTCTAATTATTTGCTTATTGATTGTACCAAGTAAGCATTGTCAGTCATAAAAACGGCTAATAATAAAAACAGTTTCTTATTATCCATCCAACAATAAACCTAGTAAAAGATTTATTGTCTCGACAGTCAGGGTTTGATTTAGATTAAAAAACAGCACTCTTGTTGGAGTTTCTAAATTACCAAACAGCAAACTGAAAGAATGCGAATGCTGGCAGGCTTTAATTGGTGATTACCCCCAATCAACATTAAGATGGGTTGGCAACATCTGAAGCTCCTTAGGAAAAGATAACAAGCTAACACTTGATGTCTTACTCACAATTATACTGAGGTTAGTTTCAAGATGTCTGAAACACCTCTCTATACCTCCCACCACCCTGGTTCTTCTCTTGCGCTTTCTTCTCTTCAGTCCAAATATCAGGCTTTCAAGTGTTTAACAGCCACAGTTAAGAGTGAGGAGATGGTGCTTTTACACATACTTAAACTTTGCCTTCAAATGTATATTGAATTGCTCATAGTTGTTTTGGAAAAGTGTTAACCAGAGGGAGCTGGTCCATACAGGGTGTTGGGGAGCTATCTTCCCAGAAATAGAGGGGAAGATAGACATAATGTCTATAGACATTATTTTAAAAAAATGTATTAGCCTATTTCCTTAATAGTCTGTGCCTAATTGTACTTTGAATTATTTACACATTTCCACCAATTGACGAAACAAATGAGAAATATTATTTAGTTTCAATATCATGACATCTTATACATCAAGATCTTGCTACACACCTAATAGAAATATTACACAGTTATTGTCAGATTCAAGACTTGGAAATAGGAGGAATAGAAAGGCAAATAATAAACACCATGATCAGAACATTAATATGCTGGAGCACATAAAATTTGAAGTTACTTTAAAGTAACCAGATCAAATTAAATCAGAATTACACGCGAATAATTATTACATTTGTACATCTGCTTATTACTATGATTTGGAGGCAACAGATGTCCACCTACAAAACTTCTGTCAGACCCTTCTTCCCTAGAAACATAGTTATTGTTGCTTGATGAATATGGCTCAAAAATTCTTCCTCAATAATAGCAGCTCTTTTTTCTTTATCCCTCCAATTAGCTTCATCCTCAAAAACCACAGATAAAACTCTCAAATCTTCGCTTCAGTCGTTCACAACTTTCTCTGCTTCTGTGGATTTCACCTTAGATTGACCCGGTGTTTGACCCAATACAGAAACACTCTGCGTTTAAAGTAGTCTGTGAGAAATATTTATTATTAAAAGCTTTAGTGTACACAGAATAAAAGTGCAATAGATAATAGATAATGTAAGTGGTTTTATTATGTCAGTGACACTTTCATTGAAATATATTTAACTAGATGTGAATCTGATTGTATGATTGTACTGAATAGATTTTGTCTCCATAAAAGTCAGATTTGTCTCTCAATTTAATGTAATCAGCACTATGAAAATAAACCAAATGGACGTGAATAGAAAATGTGGCGCCAGTGAATTAACTAAAAAGACAATTATGACTGTAGAATTACCCCACATGGTATAATGTACGTCTAGATTTCTCTCTCATGAGGTTTTATTACATCTTTAAATGTACTGGAAATAAGTTTGGAGGGGATGGTGTAGATTGGTTATAGGTGAGGGTGAACAGTGAGCCTTGTGCTTACATCTGTCTCCTGTCTCTTGCAGGGAGACTACAAGCAGGTGAAACACATGGTTTGATCAGTGAAGAAAAACTAAAACTTCCTACAGTGAGGATTTACATAATTAAAATTACATTAGCAGATCAAGATGTTTATATCTGTCATTTAAGCAAATCTATAGTAGAAGTCTGATAAAGGATTCAAACAAAACTACATCCCGTGGGTTCAAACTGTTACTACTCTACTTTGTAGTGCAAACGTCTTCAAAACGGAAACAGATAAATCTCATAGCAAAAGACCCAGTGATACCCAGAGACATCTGAGTGGCTGCTCTTCCCACTACCTGCAGGGTACACCACAGCACCAATGCTGTCATGGTAAAATAAGGTCCTCTTTTATGATTTCCTTTTTGCATAGTGTAGTTTGGGTACTTTGAAAAAAGTGCTGACTTCATATCCTCAGGCACCCTGTGGAATGTGTTATTCCACATTCAAAGGGTGCTGAGAGGCTTCATGTCTTTCCTTGATATAGTCATGTGAGAATCTTTTGCTGGGCTGAAATCGATACTCCAAAATTGCTGAAGAGCATGAACAGCAGAGTAAAGTGCCCATAGCAGACTGGGTGATAGATAGACAGACAGACTGAAAGATTTATGATAGGTAGTTAAGTAGATAGTAAATGTTATTAGCTCTGTGTAGCTGAGCTGATTTTATTTTTTTATAATTATTATGAACCTTCTCAAAACATTTTTCTGTTGAGTTGACATGGCTGTTGTTTTTGGTTCCTGATGTTGTTCTGGGAGGGTGGTTATTGATGTTGCATAGAGTGGGGTTCTGTGAGGTAGCTGCAGCAGCCAGACAGAAGCTGCCTACACAACTGCTGGTAAGATGTCCTAATGCTACCCCTCACTCTTAGTGATGTTTATGATGTTCATAATTGTTCTCAGACTTTTGTGCTGCATAAATTATAATGTTAATTGTCTTTATGTTTCTTAAAAAAAACTTTAGCTTTGGTTAGAATTAAACTGTTGCCCTTTAAAGTTGTTTGAAGTTTTCCCTCTAAAATGTTTGCAGAGCTGCTGGGATCTGACTGGTTGTGTGTGCCATAAAGATGGTTGAGTGTGTCCCACGTTGTGTTATAGGTATGTAATAAATGCACAGATTTCTGGTATAGTTTTATAGCTTTAAATTTAATTACTTTATATGTATTATTTTACATAAAGTAAAAATTTTGTGTTTTGTATTATAATTTGGATTTTTATTTATATTATTTTGCATTATGCATTAACATATTAGCATTATGCATTAACATATTTCTTTGATGCTGATTATTTTATTTTATTCCATTTGTGGTTAATGTAAAAAGGGCAGAAGCTGCCTACACAGCTGCTGAGCTGCTGGGATCTGACTGGTTATGTGTGCCATACCGATGGTTGAGTGTGTCCCACGTTGTGTTATAGGAATAAACTGACGCAGGTCCTGAGTCCTGTGTGATCCATTTCACAACTGCTACATCTGCACCGAGTAAAGTCACTTCCAAGGGCGTGCAAGTAGAAGAGAGGAAACTTGTGAGAGACTTTGGTTCTTTGCGACGAGTTTACAGCTATGTTATTAACTGTATTATATATAGTTTGTGATGTGTGGGGGAGATTAAATGAGATGAGGTTTTGCTTCATTTTCACTTTTAATTAATATTATCTACTATACTTTCAAAAAGATGCACACGCACACACACTGAAAAGCTTCATGGATTTGGAGTGTTGGATCTTCCCAAGACGTCTCACAGAAAGCATCATGAAAAAGGATAGAAAACCATGTAGTATTTTTTGAGGCAGAGAGACAACAATATCCTCACTGTAAAACAGAGACCCCCACACACACTTTCAGTGACGTGCGGCAAGAATGCGATGCGTTCTTTTTGTCATGTTAATCAGTTCCTTGGAGGGGTATGGTGCCACAATGCAGGCCCAACTAAATCCAATTCTAGAACTGGTACATGAGGATTACTCACACAATTCATCCTTTGCACTCATTGTGCTTCCTGTTCTGCTTCCTAAAAATGATCTCTATCTCTCCTCTGAAGCACTCATTATTTCTTCCTGGAACTGACCCCAGACTGAGCTTGGCTGAGTGGATGAGTAAACAACAGCCCAGTGGTCCTGAGAAATAACCATTGTGTAATAACTCCTGGAAAATGTATTTTTGTTCCAAACATTGACCAACATAAATACACTCACAGATCACCCATTTTGCAACAATGTTCTGTTCTTTTGAACTTTGAAAAAAAATCTTTATTTAGGAGCATCAACCACGATAAATGACCTGATAAATAATAAGTTATTTATAAATACTGATAATAGCGCTGCTGGTTTTAGATCTTGAAATCTTACAATGCAGACTCAAGAGTCTCAAACTGTGGTCCAGGTCTCACTGCTGGTACCTGAGATGCTTTCATCTGCCAGGTAAAAGTGAAGTACACTCACTATGGGAAGATAAACTTAGAATTAGTGCTCAGTTGATCTAATAAGCACAAACAAGAAAAAGCAGAGTGAACCCTAATCGTCTTTGGAAAACCAGTGGTTTGTTAAATGCTCTGCTCAGATATCAGACATATTGTTACCAAATCAAGCCTATGTGTTTCTGTGTATTTTGCAAATGAATACATTTAATTGTGAGTGAAAACTAAACGAACAGATGTTAAAACACTCTTATTACAATAACTATTGCTGTGTTTTAACCCTATAGAATTGATGTTGAATTTTACAAGCTACAAAAACTACATCTTGTAGCTTTGACCAACTTAAATCACACTTCTGACAAAAAAAATAAAATAAAATAAAATATTGAATATTTTTAAGCAACATTTCAGCCAGCAACACTTTGGCAATTTTAAACTGATACATTTTTAAGAAAGAAATTTGTAAATTGTACATGTATTTCTTTTAGGGAAAAAAATCTATCACTACAAAATCCTAAGATCTGAATTGTACTTTTTTAGGAAACACAATACAAGAGGAAAGTATGGAGTGTAGCACATGTTCAGGGCTTACCTTGTACCCCTGGTTGATACCATTAATGAACTGCTGAGGTGGAGAGTTCCATGTGAAACGGATGGAGGTCGAATTAATAGCCACAACTTCCACTTCCTGTGGAGGTGATGTGGGAACTGCACAGGGGTACACATACACAATAAGTAGTTCAATAACAGGAAGTAAAAATGTAAGTTAAGAGGTAAAAAAAATGAAAAACTCCATTGGATTTCTCAACAAAGCCTAGTTGTGAATATTTCCTACAGCTCCATCATTCAATATTTTATGTCCTGTTCAGATCTTTTTCTAATTAAAAATATCTGCTTATACTGCAGAACCTAAATGTCAGACCAACTCATTTGTGCTAAGTCGAAAGATGACCTAATTTCTCTAAACAATGAGATCCAATATGTTGCAATTTGCATTTATGTATTTTGCTTATTATTGCCTATGAAATGACTTAATAATGATTTATTACAAACTGGGTTTAAACAATGATGGGTCCAGAACCCAGTTAGATCCTTTCACATTAATCAGTTCGACATCACAACACACAGCACCATTACTGATTAAAGCAGACTGAATCTCATAAAAATCTGACATTTTATCCATATTAACATCTTAACTTGCAACAGGCACTTCAGTGACTCAGCACCACACTTGCATCTTTTATCTGAAACAATTCTTATATCAGACATCACACATACTTCTTTTAGTCAACATTGTTTTAAAGGTATTATTTGATTTCATTTGATTATTAAATTTTGATAAATATGACACACTGCTTTGTAAAACTATGCATGTCCATTAAAACTTTTCCACATTTTCATCCATATATCAACAAACCTAATTGTGTTTTCTGGGTACTTTTTGCAATAGACCAACACAGAAGAGTGGATAATTGTGGACAAAAATAAATGAGTAAATTATTCAAATGAATAATAATTTAAAGTTAAGCATGCATTTGTACTCAGTCAGCTTTGCTCTGATACCCGTCAATAAAATCTATCAAAAGCAACTGTCTTCAGAAATCACCTAAGTAAATGGAGACAATCTGTACTGCTGTTCAGTGGAGGCCTCAGAGATTGGTTAAAGAACATTAAAGAACAACCAGCATAATTGAAGATCCAGGAACACAGCAGACAGGTTAAAGTTCAATCTGTAATCTAAGGAGGAGCTGCTGAAATCCATAGTTCAGGTGGGAGAATCTGGCAGCAGGGTAACTACTCGCTCTGCACTGCTCAGCACAGTTTACATCAAAGCATATCCATGTGTTAAAATGGCACTGTCGAAGTCCAGACCTAATTCCCACTGACAACCTGTGCCAATAGTTGAAAACTGATGCTTAACAAAAATTCTTCATCTAATATGACAGATTAATGTATTTTACAAAGAAGAATAAGACCTAGTTCTGTAGATGTGCATAACTGGTTGTATCTCGTGTAGAGGTGAGAGGCTCTAATGACTCAAAATAATTCAGTATTTTTTTCTGCTCATTTAGTAGATTTTTTTGTTGTTGTTTTTTCGATGTGTGCTACAGACAATGAGTCAAGAGATTTTTTTCTGTATAAATAAAGGATTCTAATAACATATCACAATAAAAATTACAAGGCAAAAACTAGAGTTTTAACATCAAAGCAATGCTCTGAAACTCTGAAGCAGAATAGAAAACACTTTGCAGAGTCAGTACAATCTATTAATGAAAAAGATTCAAAATACAAGTATTTCACTATCCTCCTGCTATACAGACATCTAACTGTCAGTCTGTAGTGGCTCTATGAAACCTACCAGAGCAGCTGGCAGTGGCAGAGAAAGAAAATCCATCATGAACGACTATTAAACCCAGAAAGCGCGAGAGAGGAGTGACCGTTAATCGTGTGCCTGTATGTGAGTTTGTGGGCATGTCGTAGTGATTACATGTTAACTGCAACTCTAAAGCCTGGCTGTTGCGTGAGGGAATGCCCTTTAAATCAGATTTTTTTTTTAACTAAAGTGGCTGTATGACACTGGCATCTATAAAGAAAACACACAAACGGATTCTTCAGGCTAGAATGATATTCAAAAAGCTTCTGCAATGGTGAAAGGCATGAGAAACGACAGAAAGAATAAGAGGACAGAGAGGCAGACAGGAGATTAATTGAAATTAAAGATGTTCTCTCAGTCTCTGCCATGAAGACCCTGCTCCCAGGGAGTGGCTCTTTGCCCCTCGCAGTTCACAGCTCCAGATAAAACACTAAACTATGCACTTCGGGGTAATCTTAGTATGCGCCGACTCCTGAGGCCGCTTGTGAGAGAGCAGGAGAAAAGTAATGTTATCAGAGTTTAACACAGACTTCAACCATATCCTCTCAGAGACAGTGAGAGGGAGGAAATGTCCAATTCATCACAGTCACTACCATTAAAGGACATTAGAATAATTATTGAGTCTAACTCCCTCTCCTGAGTCGATAAACCTGTCTCCAAATTTGTAATGATGAGTGTGAGTTCTATGTTCACATGTGAGTGGATCTGCTCATCTTTATTAATTATAATATACCATTGGAGTAAAAATCAGCAAGATGAAAGAACATGTTTAAAGAAAATTAAACCTTAAAACTATTTCTGCTCATCTTTCTTACTTTCATACTTATATTTCCTTCCTTGTTCACATTACTGATTTATTTTTTTATAGAGTTGAATGTGTATTCCTGGGAGCAGCCATGCTTCCTAAAATAAACACACTATTATCTGTCAGATTCTATATCTATGGAGCTGTTGGAAAACCCTTTCACCATCAGTTCCCTCAATCCCGCCGCGTCTCCTGCTGCTTGTTAGCCAGATGGAAGATGAACTGGAATCCCTTCAGCACATCCTTGGTCGCCCTTAGGGTCTCTTCCCAGTCGACTGAAAAGTGCTTTGGCTGCTAGAGGATGCCTCAGGGGCAACTCTAATATAACTCAGAACAGCATCAACCGGCTCTTCTAAAAGCTGAGTAATACTGAAAGCTTTTGAAGCTGCAGAGAGAGCCAGCATGTACTTGTCAGTCAAAGAATCAGAACATTAAAAACAGGTGAGAGGAGTGGATCATGTCATCATTACATCATCTTTGTCTGTCAGGTACATTGCAGCCCTTTGGAGTTCATCAAATGTACTTGAACCCACTGTATCTTATCTAAAGACACAATGGTGCAGGACTAAAATTACTGCATGTCCTGGAGTCCTGCTGAATAAATTCAACACAATGTTTTTCTGTAAGCAGCGATGATTGAAACTGTATATGTGGTGTGAGAGGCATAAATGAGGAATGAAAATGTGCGTGTGCATCTCCACCAACCTCCCTGCAGCGTGTATTCTGTGACAGGCCGGCTGTAGACACCCAGGCCAGCTCCTGTGTAGGCAGCCACCTGGATCTGGTACTGAGTCCAGATGATGAGGTCCTTCAGCAGACAGTAGTTAGTCTCTGGGCTGCTAATGTTTTTTTCTTGGTAGTCCCCCGGCAACCCAGCCAGACGGTACCTAAATACACACATAACAGCTTGTAAATGCATTATAACAGAAGGATATTGAAATCCATTTTTATTCACAAACTGATCAGATATATTCCTAAGCATTTCTTGTGTGGCAGACTGTTGAACTTAGAGGAATACATTTACTTGGCTCGTTAATTTTCCTCTAGTCTCCAAGATCCAGCGACTCCATATGTACAGCGGGAAGCACAGAGAACAACCATTCAACATCAAACTTCAGATATATCTAGAGTTTTATCCAGTGAATTCAATGCATATAGAATGTCACATCAGCATTACACCCAGATTATCAAGAAGTCCAAACACATAACCAAACATACAATTACCTGCAACGAGTTGGAAAGAAAAACACAATAGGAGAGACAAAAAAATGCATTTTTGGGAATTGCTCTCACGGCTGCAAACAAAGCAATTCGTTTTTTCTGCTGTAAAACAGACATTTTATAAGGAGGTGTATTCCCTTAATTTAAATATATGCATTTGAAGGCGTGTCCTCCCCTTGTAGGGCTGTTTAAAGTTATTTTTATTACCGTCTTTGAGACCTGTTCAAACCCAAAAGCAAATGTATGGAGAGAACAAAGGTCATTCTCAAACAGGATCTTCCCATACCAGTCTCCTCCTTCAAACATTCCAGACCAAAATTTATGCTTCAGCTAGACCTGGTGGTTTTTCTGCCTCAGCGATTCATCAAGAAACTGATTCCTGTTATAAACATTTCATACCAGTATTTATCATGTGTATTTCTTCATTTATTTTATTAAAGGGTCTTTTCTGCACAGGTCAAGACCTTTTAAAGATCACTAAAGACAATCTCTAATTCCGTTTAGTATGTGATTTAAACGCTCATTCAAAAGATTAGATAACCCACCAAGAGACAAGGGAAGTGCAATACTACTTCAGTATTGTTCATATCTGATAGAGCTGAATGGAACAATAATCCCCATGTCAGCATTTTAATATGACACCTATTCTCTATAACAGGATGTTCCAACGATTCACTGGCTGCATCAGCACTTGATCACACATACGCATTGTACACACACACACACACACTGACAAATACAAATTCTGAGTATGCACAGGGGGCCAACATCAGTTCTTTGCGTAGGAGAGAAGATAACCTCTCTCCCTCCCATTTCCACCTGACACTTTCGGAGACGAAGAGGAGGCGGACGAGGAGGTGTGGGGTCAACAGAAAAGAGAGAGAAAATGGAGAAAATAGAAAAATAGGTAGAAAAGAGTGAGAAGCTGGCAGCTGACACAACAAGAAGAAAATGGAATTCAAAAGATGAAGAAAGAAGGAAGTGGAGCAGTGTTCTACAAAGCTGAAATGATACAGCAGGGATGTCTAAGTGCATGATTCTGTTTTTTAACTGATTTCTGAAGTGCAGCCAGTGAAGTAGAATAAAAACCTGATAACTTCAACTACAATTTTATGCAAATGTTTGTTTGAGACAGCTGATGACAGTCTGATTACACAGACAGTGTATCATACTTTAGGTAGACATTACGGAAGAGGAGATCAGCCCAAAGACAGCAGCAACATCCTCAAAGAGCACTCTTCTCTGCATGTGAAAGTATGCAACCATGTGTGGTTTTACATTGTGCGGAGCGAGTTCTATTCCAAATATATATCAAAGTGCCATTAGAGAGAACTTCACCACTGATCTGTGTATTTTCTATAAGTGAGAAAACATCTTCACTGGCTGATAATTAATATCCATCCATTTATCATCTACTATTTACAATAAAAGTGGAATAATTTTTTTAAGTAGTTCATATACATATTTATTGATTGCATGTTTTTGACTTTATTGAAGCAGTCATTTATATTTTGTTCGGGTTTCTTCTCTGAGCTCCTGAATTAGTGATAAGTCTGTTCTGGTAATTATCTCTTAGGATGGTGTTTGGACCCAAACTTTCTGATGGTACTTCACTCAGCAGCTGTCTCGTTCAGCTCTGTTTCATTCATAGGGGCCGCATATCCCCTCTCTGGGTGTGGACTTGTAGTTAAGTCCCCACAGTTCTGACATCCAGGTTCCTCCTTTTTGCATTTGTCTTTGCATGTAACCTCTCTGATTATGGTTACTTGAGTAGTAGCATTCCAACAGATCCAAGTTTTCACCTCTCGCCCATTTCCGTCTTGTTCCAGTAGCCCATTTGTCATCAAGGTGCTCTGGTTCCCCAGCACCTGACGCAGACCTTGTTTGGCCGGGCGATGTTACGCATCTTGTTATCTCTCATGGTATGAGGTAGCTTAAGGACCCAGACTGGATTCGAACCCCGCCCTCTTGGGTGAAAGACTGATTTACACCAGACCAAGATTACAGTGTTTGTTTGGTGTGGGTTCACCTTAGGACATATCCTCGAAGAATACCGTTAAGCTCGGATTCTGGAGGAGGCTGCCACTGGACCATAATGGACTGGTTTGTGCGACCGCTGGCCACAATGTTATTAGGGGGAGCACTCGGCGCCTCTTCTCGAAGCATCATCCTAGGACAAACACAGAAACGAAGAAAGGAATAAAATCTGAGAAGCAGACAGACAACATATTTGATCAGACTTATAATGAGTTTCTTTGGGATGTTACAGATAAAGTCCAACTGTGGAGTCAAACAGCTACAGTCTACTCAGTAACAGAATAAACAGTGACTTCATTTTTTTTTTCTTTTTGCAACTATGAAAGTTGGGTTTTCTTTCTTCAGGAAGCTCCTATTCTATCTGACACTCTGCTTTCAGCAAGTCATCGCGACAATGCGTCCATTATGCATGGACGCATACATCCATATCACTTACATAGTGATTTTCAACCATCAAAGGGTTCTCAAAGATAATTTATGAGCTCTAAAATGAGAAGTAGTTTCTATGATTAGCTTAGAAGATGCACAGTTCCACCAGGTGTTTTCTAATTGCTGCCACTAGGCACAGGGAGGAGTGCTTTTTGAGAAAGGACGTTTGGCCAGAAACTGCAGTTCCAAGCATTTAGACAGCCCTGCATGGGTGCCACAGGAGATGCAAAAACTCCTCAAATAAAAGCAACACTCCAGGTATAATTTTTATGAGGAAATAACATTGTGACATAATATAAAGCTTATAAAAGTCAATTTTTCATAATACTCGACCAAGAAAGAAACAGTGGTGAATTGGATACAGGCTAATGGGTGGCCAAGGTTCACTGACACATGTGAGGAGCGTAGGCTGGGCTGTGTGCTTTAATATTATGTAATTTCATATCAATAGGTGCTTAGCACTGTACACCATGGAGAGCACCAACGACCAATCAGCATCAGACCTGACTACAGAGAACTAAAAGAAGTTAGCCTGGTTTGATGAATAACATTTTTTCTTACTTCACTTGGATGACAGGTGTGTGTGCATCACTTACTGGAACAAAAATGCTCTTCTGGCAGAACCCAAGACAGAAGAGAAAGTGTGATATGTTTTGCAATGTTCTGCTGGAAAACATTGGGAGGTTACATTTCCTATAACAACCTACCTAAATATTTCTACACATTAAATATTCCCCTCTTTCCAGGGAACTGTATTATCTGATATCTGTTGGATTTGTTTTAGGATAGTTTGAGGGTTTGACTTGGTAAATCTAAATCCATTCCACTATCTGTGGGGATGTACTGGACAAACAAGTCAGATCCATGAAGTCCCCCCTTCACAGCTTAATGGACTTAAAGAATCTGCTACTAACATTTCAGTGCCAGATACAACAGAACATTTTCTGGGTATTTGTTAAGTATGAAATGGTAGAACAACTTGATCCAGATCCTTTGGTATTACATAATCAGTGTGATGTAATGCTGTGCAACATAACTAACTGAATTGTAATATTTCAGTATTCTCAAGTATATGTTTAAAAACAAGAAAACTTTGGAACGCAAAGGAAATGGATTTTATATTGGAAAATTTGATCTTATTCAACCTCAGCCCATAAGCTCTGTTGCAGTAAATGGGCAACACAATGTGACACATAGTTAAATCAACTCTAGTATAAAACGAGCAAAGATCTTGTCTTTTTGAGGAAGGCAGTATGATCCCTTGGTGCTTTTGCTCAGTTTCTGTCTCTCCAAACTGTCTCCTTATTTTTTACGTTGACATTTTGAAACACTTCTCAAATTTTTTTTCCCACCCAATCTTCAAACTTCCACCTTTTATACATCTCCTTTGGCCTCAATTATTTCATGCTTCTATCTTTTTACTCATCTCCTTTCCCCTTTTCTACCCTCAAACTTCAGGGTAGAAAAGGCCCTGCAGCCTTCACATGACCAGTAAAGCGCACAGGCTTTGCTGTAAGCAGTTCAGCAAACATAATCAGAGCCTTATGTGCAAACACACACATGCACACGCACACACGTGTGTCTGTATCATCATACAGACACACATTTCTCCCTAGTTTAAGACAGGCTGTTACATTGATGATTGTTTCCCTTCCTTGGATTGCGTCTTGCGGTTTACATTACCTTGTCCCTGAAATCCACTTGCTTCCTCTATTTCTCCCCCGAAACATTCTCGTTAAGTTATCGAACCATTAACTGCGATATGACTGCTTATTTTCATGTGCCTGATTCTGTATGTGTCTATAAATGAGCATGTTGATCTACATGTTTGCGTGAAAGCAGGGATGAGAAAGCTGTTAGCAAGAAACTTGTGCAGGCGGATATATAGCACAGACCAGTGGTTTTACAGCTGTGCTTTACTTTCATTAGGTTAGGCACTGTCAGACACCAGGTGCTTCAGGCATACAAGCACACATAGAAACACACACTGAACAAAATTGGAATGAAGACAGCTCTGTACAAATTGGACATATATAATCTTCAATTGTACAGCTGCTTTTGACAGCAATTGATGATGCAAGGTCAAACAAATAGATAGACTTATGCTACACAAACATATGACTGACTTTACACTAGAAGCAGAAACACAAATTCCACAAAATAAATATCCACAAACAACTTTAATTTGGGAATAACATTTTGCAACATTATTCCCATGCATAGAACTTTTACACCCAAAATTACAATTTGCAGAACCACTTTTTCAGAGAAACTAAATAACAAAACAAGCGTTTTTGCAGATATAAGTCAAAAATGGCCAAATTTGTTTCTGTGCAAATTGTAACATTTTGGCTGCATTAGTTTAATTCTGCGATATTTGCTTGCAAACCTTCCTGTGGTTGAATGGAGCCTACTGCAGCTGAATTTTCCTGGTCACCATGGTGCAGTTTGGTTGTCACGGGCCCACACTTGCATATTTGCTCTTCTATAATGGCCAGATCTTACTGGGAGACTATTGCAACCAATAAAAAGTTACTACAAGGCTCTTGGTTGCCACTCATAATTATCATCTATCTCTAGGTCCACTTAAGTCTTGGTATGTTTGGAGTAATGCCATTATCTTTCCATCTTCAAACCATTAATTCAAGAGAGCAAAGATGTTCAAGGTTTGAGATATTGTTTTACAACCTAATTCTACTTTAAACTTCTCCATGTTTGCTCTTACCCTTCTTGGGTAAGATGTGTATTATTGGGCTCAATGAGGTTGTGTACAGAAACTTACTAGATTTTATTTTGTAAAAATGTTGCACACTTAATCAGTGTGATTTTTGCAGGTTGACTGTTGACAACAAAAGCGACAGTGAACACCTCCGCTGACCAGCCGTTACTGCACCAAATTGCCGTTGGCTCACTGAGTCAAGCGTGCTCACTGTGGTCAATGTGCCAACTGGTGGTGAACTGCTGTAACTGCAGTTTAATATATCAGTAGAAGTGCAACTTAGGAGTACAGTCTACAGTCCTTAAATAAAGTGAAAAGGTGACGGGGTGTGATTATTTCCTCAGGTCCATTCTGTCACAAAAAGAACATGAAAACTACTGATAATTTTCCTAAAATTCAAAAAGTGTTTTGAATTACCATTATGATGTGATGAAATCTGAGAATTTCAAAGGAAAAGCAGTTTTGAAAGGCAGAGAATCTGTAAATAGTTCAGAATCTAATTAATCTGTTATTTTAAAAGTTCACGCTCCTCATCTCATCATAAAGCCTTCACAGTCATGTTCAGCAACCCATCAACATAGTCCATAACTTAAAGCTGTGAGACACACTTTCTATGTCCCTTGTTATTGGTAAAAGAGGACATTTCCTGCAGGAAGTGCAGTGAGGAAAAATGTGTCAGAGTGACTGTGCATGTGTTTCATTTCCTGTGCACAAGGATTTGAGAAAAGTTTCTATTTGTGTCATTCTCAATAGTTTAAAGCCTGTTTTTTGCTAAATCCAAATATACCATGGTTTTTAAAGCTCATATTGTTACTGGGATACGGCATCTCCTAGGATTCCTGCAAATTATCTATGTCAAAATGTCACATTTCCGATCTATTTTTTTACAGTGTATTTAAGAATAACAAATTTACCTAAAATTTCACAAATGATGAAAATTTCACAATGCTGTGGCAGCCTTCTGATTCAGCAGTGAGGAAATGAATGACTCACTAAATCTGGTCAGACTTACATGAGCTTTATTTTAGAATCAATAGCAGTCTTATCATAGCTGGACACTAAATACAGATTACAGATACATAAAAATACAGACTCTTTAAATGCAGCCCGTGATCGGCACTAAAAGAATTGTAAAAATTAAATTTGATCACTTTAATTTATAAAAATTCATTTTGATCCTTTTAATTTGTAAACGCTTTGTTTGGCATCTAAACCAAATCTGCTTAGAAGTTGAAGGCATTAAGCTAATGTAACAAGACACAAAAGGACATTAAAAGAATGTTTAATTTTACTAACAGTTCTTCTTTTGAATTTTTTTAAAATCAATGTTTACATTATAGATGTTCTGGTCAAGAACGTCTCCATTTTGCCATTTTGAAGGGTGTTTTGGGGGGGTACTTTGACAACCTACCTGGTAAAATACACACTTACTAGCAAGGGGCGGGAAAGAGGAGAACCTCTTGAAGATATCTTCACCAAACCAAAGATTCCCCCCACCTTTCTTTTGATCAATCATTGTCATTTTTTTTCAAATCATTCATTGTATAAAACATGTTGGCTCTGTGTATTTGTCACTTTTTCTTTGCGACATTGTGTGCAATGAGTCAGAGAAACAGTCCTTGTACAATCTAGGCATTCAATAATTTCTCAACAGAGAAATGATGTGTTCTTATACAAAAGAACATGCAAAGATTTTTCAACTCAACATAGATAATATAAGATAAAATTAGGCCTTGAAAAAGACAACATTTTTCTACACAGTATGTTCTTAATGCCAGATTTTTCTAGATGATATAGGAACCCTGGCATATTCATGTTCAAACACATCAGATTAATTCAGTTCACATCCTGCATGAGGAAAAGGAGTGGATATAAATTTAGGGCAATGCAAACAACATAAAACAGAGAGCAAACTCAGACACAGGTGAGCTGTGACTTGATACAACTAGCTTAAATAGATGGGCTCATTTTTGCCTCATTTGACA